AATTAGAAGATAACACATGTTTGTTTAATTATCATAAGATCTATGGTACTTCTCATCCTTTGTATTTCTGGTCAAGTAAATTTGGAAGCCTTTAAGATGACTTGTATCAGATCGGAATTCATTGACGTCATGAGTCAATCATGGTTAGACAATGAATAAACACATACAAATCTAAATAACGATGGTTAAAATTCCAAATGTTGTAGCTTTTCACTAAAGTGTAACAGGCCCTATTCAAACAATGAAATAAATTATGAATGACCACTGTTGACAATTGTTTTAAACTACAGCTATATGCAAAGGTGAATACTGGTGACCAGTGGAATCGCTTCAAACGCTATCATGTTATCCGCTTAACTACTAAGTCCTGATAGCCATTTACCGTTGTATGTGTTAAATGTTTTCCGGTTTCTAATAACTGGTTAGTCATTGATTAACTGTGTTCTTTTTTAATATATTGGCTTAGTTAATTTATCTTTCATTCGTGTTCTGCATGTATATTTATTTATTTGAACACATAAATATTGCTACAAGGGGCACCAGATATACATGCGCCATACAATAATAATGAGAATGTGAAGAGATAAATAATGTAAGGTGCGTATGAAGAAAAAGGAATAAAAACGAGCAAAGATAAGTGTAGTTTAGTGAATTGATAGTAATGGGAGAGATAGTCAAATCAGCAAAAGTTCAACTACAGAGAATTCTTTCACTTAAAAAAGTTGCGTCATTTCTATGAAGAAAGTAAAATAAAGTTACAACAGGATCGCCACTGGCTTTTTATTCGAGCCATATCTGATAACGTCTCTACCTAATGTGTCACACAATCTATCGGACCAACACAGGTCAGACATTTGCAGCTTTCTTTCAGTCCTTACGCAAGCATTGCCTGAATTCACTACGTAACAGTCCTCATTCGTCACCTAAATTACTCTTCTCATTCTAGGCGCCCGACTTCAGCATCCAGATCTATGGCGGGGACTGCAATATCTGCAGAAAAGCTGCTAGCTGGTAATAAAACGCACATTTGATCGCATCCGAGTTGCAAATTGTCAGACGATAGGCGCAGATGAATAAAAGACATCAATTCTCACACCAATTTCTCACTTTGATGGAACTTTCTAATCTAATAGCACATAACGACTGTTAATGAGGATCCAATCGATCGGTGCACCCTCAGCTGTAGAGCTTAGTGTCTGAGTTTCAATGGATATTGAGTGAAGGATTGTTCGAAGAGAAAAACTAGAAGAGAAACCGTGTGTAGTGTTCATTTCATAAAGACCGACATAACGCAAAAACATACTGCGAAGTAGAACCACGAAAACGGTTGCACGCACTCGGAAGGAAATGTTCCAACTTTAAGATGTAGCTCATTTGATCAACTTTCTCTAACTCGCCTAGTGATGCAATGGCTTTTGGATGCTGTGCATTCAGCAATAAGATTTGAAAAATTGGGAATTCTGTCCGATTCCCTTGATCAACTATAACATTACACCGAATTCTATCATTTCTGTTACATTGTGTGCAAATATTTAAAGTAAAATATATTGTCACTTCTTTAATCTCAGTGTAAATTATCTGACCATTTAATTAACAAAAACATATTTCTGTTGACCTCAGTTATTGACAGAAATATCAATGATTATAACTGTGTTGTTGTCAGTCACCTCACGCCATCTCATTAATCAAATAATTTGGTATTATTCTATATCATCTATTATGTATAGTGGGCGTAATATGAATCTTATTTAGAGCAAAAAACAACGATTTCTAATAATAACTTGATAATTAGCCACACGTTCAGAAAAAAGATGAGTGAAATTATCATTTTTCAAAAGATTACTACTTTCTATAAATAAAATGAAGTGAAAACAAATCTCTCGACTGTCAATTCATAGAAGGCTGTGCTCCATCTATGAATAAACACTGTAGCCATTGACAGTCTAATTTCAGATGAGTTTAGTGGTTGTTTCCTCACAGAATCATCTAGCTCTCACTTCCTCAGTTTATCAATCTATGGATCGCCCATTAATAATCCTGATTCTTTGAGACTCGACTAGTTATTACTTCCTGTGTATATCGGTCTATGAGACTGTGGTGAATCATCCTGGTGATAAAATCCACATCACGTTCTGTGTTCCATTTTATATCAATCACTGTGGCGGATAAACTCATCCTCATCTGATATTCTGAATAAACACATTTTACCATTGACCAAATGTATGTTTTCACTGAATATTGACTATGGTTGCATATCATGGTTCAATGTGAGCGATCAAAGTTTACGTGAGGTTGAATACATTTTGACGTGTCATTTGGTGCTGAAGTTTGCACTCACTTTTCAACAGATTTGAAATGCGCTCTTTTGCAAAGAAGCATTCGCAGTTGAATATTTAAATAGCAAGTCAGGTTTGCACTGTCTCGCCAATTTCAGATTCATCGTTTTGAATGATTTTATTAAGGAGATAATTTAATTGAGCTAGACAATGTTCGGAGTTTGTAGACTGTCGGCAGAAAATCGTGTAGTCCGGTTTCATAGTAGTTGGTACAAGTCAGTATGTTATACTATCAATCTTGAAGAAACCAATACTCCTCGTGTAATTCAAACTCATGTCAGTCAATTTCGCAGCATAAAAGTTTACTGCTACGTTACAGTAAACACAACTGACATCTTGTAGGACAGAGATGTTTATATTTATTATCAAAGCACAATTGTTGATGTCCTGTTTGTCTAGGAATTAAATACTGATGGAATTCCATCAATCAGCTATTCTACCTTTACTACTTATCAGTAACTAGTTATTATGAACTAATGATTCCCTTGTACTTGTTGACTGCTTGATTTCGAATTCCAATACAATACTTTCGTTCGTGCTGATCTATCTGTTCTTGGGTTTATAGCATTATTCCTGGGATTCCTAGTTTGTACCACGATTGAAATACTCCCAATCATCACATTTGCGTCCCAATGGAGCCTGTGATAGAACGGTTGAACATACACCCAGATTTGATGCTTTTGCGAATTACATGGAAAGGTTGGAAATCTGGACTATAAACAAGGACGTAGTTGAGGATGTCAATATTGTGGCTCATTTCCTTTCATTCATCCGAAAGAAGCATACAGCTAAATAGAGACATTTGCATCTCCTGACAAGCCGATTTCTCTTCGTTATGCAACTCTGAAGCAACTGCTACTGGACCATATAAAGTATACAAATTTCGAATGCGTTAAAAGCGGAAATGTTCCTAAAATGATTCGTCAGAACATCAGGAGTCCCACTACATCACGCCGTCACAGTGCAGTGCGTGATCGAGCTTATTCAGATAACAGATCATTGAGTTGTGAGACAGTTCACAAATATAAGCACAAGTTTGGTAAATGTTTGTTCTGTTGCATGTTTCACGCATATCATACTTGTGTATTTCGTAATTTGAAATGTTCATTATTCTGCAGCTATTATTCAATTGTGTTGTTCTGATCCTTCGCAGTTGATGATTTCCAGCGATAGTTTGTTTCAGTGGCCCGTGTTCTGACTTTTATCCGATCGTTTGAATGTCTGTTATAGCCTATCGTCTTATATAATCATCGACTTATATCGTGTTACTCACTATTGGAATTGAATAAGTCAAATAACGAGAATGGACTTGTGAATACATATATTTTGTATAAAAAGCGAATGGAATAAGAGAAGAGAAAGGAATCCGAGTGGAGATGGCTGGTATCATAACTCCCATTCAACCAAGCGTTAATCAATATTTATACTTGCACAAAAGTAAGTTACGGACATGTGATGAGTAATGGGATAAGAAATGTACACACACCTACGCGCACATTACAGTGATTGTTCACAGTGTAAATACTCTTCATACTTTTTGTATGTATTTTCCCACTGTTGTTGAGGACTGTATTTGATCAGTCTCTTGTTGACATATGTGCATCCTGTGAGGATTATCTCAATATTGCCTTAAATCACTAGCTTTATAAGCAAAGATGGATATCAATTGATTCTAAACTTCATTCCATTGCACAAACAGGTGGCTAAGAGGATTCAGTAGCTAAGTGGACGATGATTACAGTGAGTGTTCACAATTTGTAGTTTGTATCATGAACTGGCTTTTGATTAAACAACTATAGTGTGAATTCATTCGGTATTGTTTGTTTGAACAGTCTCATTATTGTTTAGGATTTCAACTGATTAGTCTTTTGTTGACATGTATGTATCCTGTGCGGACTGTCTCGATATTGTCTTCAGCCACAAGATTTATCAGCAAAAATGGATATCAAACGGTTTTAAACTCCATTCTACTGCGCAAGCAGGTGACTATCAGCATTCACTACCTAATTCTTACAACGCGGTGGAGTTTCAAGTGAACGCTACCGGGTTCGAATCCCGGGGTAAACACCAACTCTGAGATGCAGGTACATGCAGCTGACAAATCTCACATAGTAGGAAACACGCATTCTGAATTCCACTGCTGGCTATTAACCATCTTGCTGACAAAATTATAGTGCGACTTTTTCGGTTTTTATAAATGAACACTATTTATTCTAAAAATAATACTATTTTCAAAAGGAGCTATAATATAGAAGTATTTCTGAAAGCCCAGCAAGAATTAGTAAACTATAGAGTTCAAATATGCAGATCATTGGAGCAAGGTCACCAGTGGTGATGAAATAATGTCGCACTTTGTCGAAGATCGACTGAAGTTTAAATCATCAACCAAAGAGTCTCATACTAATATTAGCGAAGATTTTAATCATACTGTTGTTGATATTTAAGACTGAATTTTAATCAACCTTTGTTGATATATGTAAATCCTGTGGGGATATTTTTGATATAGCCATTGCGAAAAATTACTTGGAAAAGCTAGTTATAAATAGTAATAGAGTCTAGGAGTCCTATTTCGTCCCATTCAGAAGTCGTCAGTTGTATGTACATGTATTTCAGAGCAAGTGTTCTCAATCAATAAATAAGTGACAATCTAAACTCGGACATTCTATGAATCAAACATCAGCGTTTAGAGAAAAAGGTAATTATTTCAATCATAAGACAGTTGGATACTCTACAGCAGTGGATTTGTCAGGAGTTATACAAAATTCACTTATTGATGATGATCATTTTAATGTAATTAATAATAACGAAATAAATCGATCACTCAATCAACCTTATTTGGTAGGTATTTTAAAAAATATTTTAATCTACTTATATTATTTAAGTAGTTATGAAATTAATAATAAAACTGATGGTATTGTATAGTATAAACTAGATTAGAAGTAAAATGATTGGTGAATGAAACCAATTAAGGCAAACATTTTACACATATATCAGGAACTAACTGTAAGATTTAAATGCATCACCAAGGGAATGGATGGTTTTGTTGACATTTGATACAAGATTCTTGAACTATGAACGGGAACATAGGCGTGGATTACCAAATGGCTATAAATACAACATTACAGAATCTTTTAATAAAATCTGAGAATCACACTGTAAATACTTCAGTTACAAAGTTTCAATCAACTGTTTCTGACTTGATTTTTCTTTTCTTTCCACACCAATCATTCTCTGTCCTCGTTCTCTTCTCTTCAATCTGCATAACCTTCTGTCGACAGACATTTCACTTATATTTGTCGACATCGGTAGCACACAACACAAATCAAGCCTTAGTTGTAATACTGAAGTATTTAATTGGCATACTAGACATGAAGAATTCTGAAGTGAGATAACAATTATTCATGTTAAATACGACGTGAATAACAGATACTCTATTCATCTTAATAATTAAGTGGTTGAAATCTATTCAGCTTTAGGTAAATGCAAGCAATAAATAGTTGACAATCTATTTTCTATTTTCTTCTGAATGGTATTTAGAATGATCGCGTAGTTCCTATAAATCTACTTGAAGATTACGTAACAAATAATCCTATTTTACATGGGCATGAGAAATTTTGTTGTGAATATAAAAGTAAGTGATCACTGAATAACTACCACAGGATCAATAGAGTCTCCCTATGTTCACTGTGTGACAGCTTCCCCTTAATGCTATTTCACAATAGTTGTGCAATGAAGCCAATTTATGGGGGTGAGATACATAAAACGTTTGATCCGGACCTAAGCGTATAAAAGGTAATCGTCATATGAGTGACTCAGAAGTTCCAAGTTCCATCTGTGATGGTTTCAAGGATATGTGTTGTTGAGGAATTCCATATCACGGCAAAACTGGCATGTAAAACTTCTTGATTTAATTAGTTATCTGACTATTATTAGTTTTTAACATAAACCACGAAATTCCTTGATGTTATATTTTACTGAAGAAAGCATTTACGTCGACTTCTGATGTAGAAAACCAGTTAGTAAACGTTTTTATAACTTTGAAATGAGCACTCTTAGACTGATCAACTTCTATAGGTGTATCAAATGTCGATGTAGATTTACCTCAGAGTACGATTCAGTACGGAAAGGAAAGACGCTAGATGTTGTTCATAATAATGTCATATATTACATCACTATGATTTTATTTATACATAAATTACAATAGCAAGAAGAATCAAGAAGTTGATAAAGCTAATAATTACTCTAAATCGATCAATCAGAGTTGCATTAAAAGCTGATACATTGGTGTCAGTATACTGATTTTCTCTATTTATTAAGTATACATTTAAAACAACTGCTGTATTATCATTGTTCCTCTTAAATTGAATTCGAAAACAGACCTAACTATATGAAATATTTTGCATCTAACTAAGATTGTCAATGAGACTATAATTTATGGACGACCGTTGAGCAAACACTAAAGTGACTTTGAGAGTGTTCACCTAATAACTAAGACCAAATGGAGGTTACAAAGCTGTGTGAAGAATTTGAATTATAATTTAGAACTGACGGTTAAGGTTAGGAATTACATTTAGTGTTTTCATCACGAATTGACATCAGCTATAACGCCTAGACACTATTTGCCCAAATGAATGGGGTGAATTTCGCGCCAAAATCCGAGACCTATTATCATATAGCTGATCGGTTCGTTCATAAATTATAGTCTCCCCAGAATGTCTTATTATTCATTATCAACAATTGAATATATGGCTTGATGAAACTATTCTCGTTTTTGATAGATTTTTCGATGAAAGTCAGTTTATGATGTACAACTACGTGGTGTGTGTGTGTGTACGTGTGTTTGTGTTTTGTTATGTAACTTAGATAATACTTGTCAGCATCAGTTAAACAACAATTTCAATATTCAATCTGAATCAAATTGCTCCACATGTTCAAATAGAAAACGTTTAATTCTACCTAATCAAACTAATAATGATCATGATAGTTATGTATATGATTGTTGTGAATTAAAACAAGATCCTTTTGAATCTATCATCAATTCAATTTATGACAGTAATAATTCTAATTGTACAATAATATCATTTCTTCAAAATGATAATCATAATAATAATCGTGATGAGAAATCATTCAATTCAAATCAAACTCTTTTATTGAATCCAATTTACACAAATGAGTTTTGTTTAAATGAATTCATATCAAATTCAGTGATCAATAATCCATATACATCGTATTTCAAATATCATACAAAAACGTATCCAATTCAAAGATCATATGATACAATCTGTCATAATTGCATGTTATACTCTAATACAATCAATGAAAATATTCATCTATTTATTAAACAACACCAACGACAACAACGAGAGAATTGTATTCATTGTATATTGAAATGTGATAATTCAGTTTTAGCGCCTAAATTAAACGAAACTATTTCTTATTATCATGATGATAATAATAATAAGAGTATTAACAGAAATGAATGCCAATACTATCCATTAGATAGAATGAATAGAATGTGTAAATATAATCATTTCAATGAATAGATGTTAAGATATCTGTGAATAAAACTATTCTATACTGAATGTTATCACATCTGTTTTCATATGAAATATATAGTTGAATAGTTTATCTAATTATCAGAAACGTTTTGTGAAGATATTAGAAATTAAACTGATTGAAATCATGAGTCAATTAAATCTAGATTATAATGAGAAACCTGAAAACACAGAACGACTTTTTGTCCTAGTATGACACTCCTCAGCAGTGCGCATCTGCTATCCGGCACCTCGCGAGATTCTAACTCAGGACTCACTGAAGACAATGGTGTACGGTGGCGCAACTTCGTGATTGGTTGAAGTTAAACATTAACATCTCTGGGTGGCGGCTCGGGGGTCTAGTTGGTTAAGCGCCTGATGCGAGACTCATAGGTCCTGCGTTCGGATATGTTGAGGCGCGGGATCGTGAATGCCCACTGCTGAGGAGTCCCATACTAGGACGAACCGGCCGTACAGTGCTCCCAGATTTTCCATGGTGTTCCAGCTTCAATTGACTCATGATTTCAATCAATGAAGTTTATCTAATTACCCATTAAATGTTTTTACTTTTATAAAGAAATGTGATAATTAGATGTAATTGAATAATGGTACAAATTAGGATTGCCAGAAATATTACAATTTAACCAAGTTGTATTAGATGAATATGATCGAATTTAATGTATATGACATGTCAAATCAACTAGTCGTCAAGTTATAAAGGAATCATTAATTCATACAATCACACTATATCTAACACAGCTTAAATTGAAGTCTAAGTTCCAGTAACCAAATGTATGTATTTTCCCTAATTTCATCCTATATCTGTCCGACAGTGTACGGAATATAAAACTCTGCACTATATAGAATGTACTCACTAGTACTAGAATTAGAAACTGAAATTGGAACGGAATCACCTGGGTCCTGTAATTATATACAACCATCACGTCAGTTGTGTGGCACAACTACGGATACCTAGAATTTGAAACATAGATTTTTTCAACAGTATCCTCCCTCACGAAAGAATGTGAGGTACTTACGTCTCAATGTCACGACCAATATGACCTTCACAATTCTTATTATCACCTCATATCCCACGCATTGATTGATATAAGTGAGCGTCTGGCGACACACAACAACATATAATTTGAGGATTTCGATCATGTGTATTTGACGTGCATAAAAAAAACAAGAATTCCTTTTCACATTATGATACACAGGAAAATATGTATTCATATGCATAATTACCACATGTGGTTCATCCACGAATAATATATAGGCAATACAATCAAAAGAAAAACATGTATCTGCAACACAGTTATTATCATCACCTCTGTCTATATGTTTCAGCGTATTGTGTTCATCAGTCGTCAAACTCCCAACTAGCCTTGAAAAATCCAACTGAAGGCATGCCTTAAGACACATTTAGCTGCTTTCCTCAATGTGTGACCTATACACTTCCAGCGTTTCTTCTTGATTTCTTCCTCCGCTGAAATGTGGTTTGTTCTCTCCCACAGTAGGTTGTTGCTGATAGTGTCTTGCAGACGAGTCCGAAGTATTTTGTGTAAACAACTGTTAATCAACACTTGTATCTTCTGGATGATGGCTTACGTAGTTCTCCAGGTTTCCGCCCCACACAGTAGAACTGTCTTGACATTCGTATTGAAAATCCTGACCTTGGTGTTGGTTGACAGTTTTTTCACTTCCGGATGTTGTAATTATGCTGCTCTTGCTTTGCTGATCCACGCCTCCACATCTGCATCAACTCCACCGCGTTCATCAATGATGCTGCCCAGATTTCTGAAGGTATTTACACCCTTCAAAGCTTCTCTGTCAAGTGTGATGTGATTATTGCATGCTGAACATTTGATTTGATATCAGGATTTGATTCTTCTGAAATATTTTCTTCAAATTTATTAGGAATTTCATTGGTGAGTAATGGATCATTAGAAAAATCAGCGTTTGTCAAAAGTGCATAAGTATTTCGCTCATGATTAGATTCACTCGACATATTTTTCTCAAATTTCTAGGAGATTTTATCAGAAATATGTGAATCGTCGGGACAAATTGAATCTGGTGCAATAACATGAGAAATCCGATAAGATGTTGATTGATTAGAAACTTTTGTCTCACAAACATTCAGACTGCCATTTAAGTCTGGATCGCTATATGAATGTATATTGCTTTACGAAATCATGTATAAAGATAAACTATCATTAGAAATCGTCAACTAAGTAGGATCACAATTACAGAATTTAATTTTAGTTGCAGAAAAATGAACAGCAGTACTGCAAACTAACTGAATGTGTCCAATCTCACCACATTTAAAACATTTCAAATTACGAAATACACTAGAATGATATGCGTGAAACTTGCCACAGAACAAACATTTACCAAACTTGTGCTTATATTTGTGAACTGTCTCACAACTCAATGATCTTTTATCTGAACAAGCTCGATTACGCACTGCACTGTGACGGCGTGATGTTGTGGTACTACTGATGCTCTGAAGAATCATTTTAGGAACATTTACTCATTTAACGGCCTCGAAATTTGTATACTTTATATGGTCTAGTAGCAGTTGCTTCAGAGTTGCATAACGAAGAGAAATCGGCTTGTCAGGAGATGCAAATGTCTCTATTTAGCTGTATGCTATTTTTCGGATGAATGGAAGTAAATGAGCCACAATATTGACATCCTCAACTACGTCCTTGGTTATAGTCCAGATTTCCAACCTTTCCATGTAATTCGCAAAAGCATCAAATCTGAGTGTATGTTCAACCGTTCTATCACAGGCTACATTGGGACGCATATGTGATGATTGGGAGTATTTCAATCGTGGTACGAACCAGGAATCCCAGGAATAATGCAATAAAACCAAGAACAGATAGATCAGCACGAACGAAAGTATTGTATTGGAATTGGAAATCAAGCAGTCAACAAGTACAAGGGAATCATTAGTTCATAATAACTAGTTGCTAATAAGTAGTAAAGGTAGAAAACCTGATTGATGGAATTCCATCAGTATTTAATTCCTAGACAAACAGGACATCAACAATTGTGCGTTGATCAATAAATATAAACATCTCTGTCCTACAAGATGTCAGTTGTGTTTACAGTAACGTAGCAGCAAATTTTCATACTGCGAAATTGACTGATATGAGTTTGAATTACACGAGGAGTATTGGTTTCTTCAAGATTGAGAGTATAACATACCGACTTGTACCAACTACTATGAAACCGGACTACACGATTTTCTGCCGACAGTCTACAAACACCGAACATTGTCTAGCTCAATTAAATTATCTCCTTAATAAAATCATCCAAAACGATGAATCTGAAATTGGCGAGACAGTGCAAACCTGACTTGCTATTTAAATATTCAACTGCGAATGCTTCTTTCCAAAAGAGCGCATTTCAAATCTGTTGGAAAGTGAGGCAAACTTCAGCACAAAATGACACGTCAAAATGTATTCAACCTCACGTAAAATTTGATCGCTCACATTGAACCATGATATGCAACCATAGTCAATATTCAGTGAAAACATACATTTGGTCAATAGTAAAATGTGTTTGTTCAGAATATCAGATGAGGATGAGTTTATCCGCCACAGTGATTGATATAAAATGGAACACAGAACGTGATGTGGATTTTATCACCAGGATGATTCACCACAGTCTCATAGACCGATGTACACAGGAAGTAATAACTAGTCGAGTCTCAAAGAACCAGGATCATCAATGCGCGATCCATAGATTGATAAACTGAGGAAGTGAGAGCTAGATGATTCTGTGAGGAAACAACCACTAAACTCATCTGAAATTAGACGGTCAATGGCTACAGTGTTTATTCATAGATGGAGCACAGCCTTCTATGAATTGACAGTCGAGAGATTTGTTTTCACTTCATTTTATTTATAGAAAGTAGTAATCTTTTGAAAAATGATAATTTCACTCATCTTTTTTCTGAACGTGTGGCTAATTATCAAGTTATTATTAGAAATCGTTGTTTTTTTGCTCTAAATAAGATTCATATTACGCCCACTATACATAATAGATGATATAGAATAATACCAAATTATTTGATTAATGAGATGGCGTGAGGTGACTGACGACAACACAGTTATAATCATTGATATTTCTGTCAATAACTGAGGTCAACAGAAATATGTTTTTGTTAATTAAATGGTCAGATAATTTACACTGAGATTAAAGAAGTGATAATATATTTTACTTTAAATTTTTGCACACAATGTAACAGAAATGATAGAATTCGGTGTAATGTTATAGTTGATCAAGGGAATCGGACAGAATTCCCAATTTTTCAAATCTTATTGCTGAATGCACAGCATTCAAAAGCCATTGCATCAGTAGGCCAACGAGAGAAAGTTGATCAAACGAGATACATTCTAAAGTTGGAACATTTCATTTGCGATTGCGTGCAACCGTTTTCGTAGTTCTGTTTTGCAGTATATTTTTGCATAATGTCGATTGTTGTGAGATAATTGTCCTCATATTGAATATAGATCAGATAGAGGCGAAAGTAATGAGTGACATTTACAAATTGTCGAGTGAATTGTGTTGATAAAATCAAGGTGAAATAAACTGTTGAATTGGTTATCTTTGGATGGTGAGCGGGACTGTCATCTGTCAACTACGTTCGCCTGTGTTCTTGAGTCGAACTCCATTAGGATCAGTTACAGTTATTACAATTTCCAATGGAGAGATCGGTCTTTAGGTCAGGAGTATATAACTCCACTAATGTGTACATAATTATTTTCCTAATTCAACTGAATCAGTTCATATTGTGGAATGTGTACAAAATTCAGTTTGATTGACAGCCATAAATGGAAATGTGTAAAACGCTGGTTTACAAATAAGGTTTTACACGATAGAAAGAAGCCAACGTTTTGTAGTGTGCTAAATGATTATATGAAAACGTCTATCATCTGAAGATAATCTGTTCAATGATTCTACTAAAGGATCTTCGATGGATATAGCGACCACTGCAC